GCGGAAGGCGAGCGGGGCGAACGGTTGTATGGGTCGGTGCTCCAGTGGCGAACGCGGCAGATGACGCAGTTTTGATATTCTCTGAGACAACGGGGTCGGCTGGTGTGAACGTCATTACTCTGTTGCCAAGGCGCGTCCGTGCACGGGCAATCTAAGCGGAAGCAAACCTGCAAAGCGTAGGAACACGATGGGAACATTAATACTCGCGGAGAATTTGCTGATTTATTGTCTGCGGCTGCAGAGGAGGACGTCCGGGCAGCGAACACATGGCGGGACAATGGGACAAGCTGATAGAGGTGTTCTGATAGCACCCGCGCAGTCTACAGAACCTTGTTCGCTACACGGGTTCCGCATACTGGGGGAACATCATCTGCGCAAAGTTGTGGGGAGACGTGCGGCCGTCTTGCGATTCGATGTGGCGTACGCTAGTGTACAGGAATCGCTGATTCGAGTTGCGCTTGCGCGAGAAATGGCGAGCGAGTGGCAAACCATTCTGCATCTCCGTCATGGCGGGGATGACGGAAGGGCTGCCGGCGGAAGACGTAGGGTCAGAACGACGGAGGGTGAGTCACATGCATCGACCATCAGAAAGGCCCGAGGGTTGGGCTCATATGTCGTCGCAGAGGAGGACGGCTAGTGAGCGGCCTGCGGAGTCAACCACGCCAGGCATCATTATCTGTAGATAAGTCCTAGGACGAAGGCGGCTCCATGCGGGATACGTGAATACACCGCTCTCACAATTCTGATTTCGCGGTCGGCGCTTCCGTCCCAGCCGGTTTTGCATAAAGCACAAGTGCGCGGAAGGGTGGGGGCCACTCCTTGTCCCGTCTCTCCCCCCCTCGCACCCAGCATTCTCGAGCGGCCCTCTCCGTCGGCAGCCCGTGCGTTCTATCGTTACACAACATTGGCTTCTACACCTATCTATACCCTGCGACTGCAAACCCGAACCGCGCTCTAGCCTGACTCGCCCAACAATCGAGGATGTGCCGCCGAATTGCGTAAGTTTGAAATGTCTTGGTACGACCGAACGCTGACCAGGCGCACAGCGAAGGGACACGTTGGTCAAAGTGTGGTGTACGCGTTTCTGAGCTGCTCACCATATGGTCCTCGGACTGATCATCATGGCGCTCGGGCAGCACTTCCAACGCCACTTGGTGGTCGCAATCGTGGACTGCGACTCCAGCAAGTGCGAACGCAGCATTCGGCACCACAAAGGATGTCGCGATTCTAGCTGTCTCAAGGTAAGTGCGGCCGGACGAGCGAGAGGAGTGCACCAGTGGCTCACCGCTCCGACAAAAAACTGGGTTCCCGCGGCCGCATGCTGACGCCCGTGTTTTTTTTTTTTGCGCGCGTTTTCGCAGAACTACGGACCAGACGTGCAAAAGGACATCGACACGGTCAACGACGAGTGCTTCCAGTGCCGTGCAGCGGCCGCCCGTCGAGTGCCGACCTGAGGGCGACCCATCCAGCTAGACTGTCTGCCTGTGCCCAGCGCGCGCGCGGTAGCCCGTTTCGGTTTCGTGTCTTCTTCCCTTCATCGCCTCATCGTTCTCTCGCATCTTGGACCGGACCAGCCAAACGCACATCAACCTCGTGTTCACCACCACTTCAACCCGCCGCTCTGCCTCGGGACCTGCAGCATAATCATCCAACCTTGTATCATTATCAGTCGAGACCGTTACCCCCACTAGTATACCATATTACCATACCTGCGCACGTTCTGTGGTCTGTATCTTCCCTAGTCCCCGTATAACCGTCGAATGCTTGGTTGCACCTTCATCTCCTTTGCGTGATTCCCGGAAACCAGACAGCTGGCAGGGGCCACAAACACGAGCTGGTCAGGTACTTGTGGATGACGGGCGCGATCCCCGTGATACGTCAGTGTTTGGGACACCCTGCGATGCGGCAGAGACCCTAGATCTCGTCGTGACGGCGCCGGGGGCGTCCGCGGTCGGGCTGAGGTACGAGGCGGCGGACGACACGCGTTCTGCACGAGGCAAAGGCGTCAGACTTGTTCCGGAGGCCACCAAACAAGTGGCGAGAACCGTGCCAGGTCCGCAAAGGAAGCAGCGCGGTCCTCGCTCGAGCTCCCAAAAGAGGCCGCTTCGCAGTCGTGGCGCGGTCTCTGTGGAACATCTAGAAGAGGCACCGGGCGCGCGCGCCGGCTCCTTGAAACCCCGGTGCGAAGTTGCTCAGCAAAGGATACTAGAAGGAGAGGATTGGCAATCGTCCTGTGCACAGATGTCAAACTGTAGGCACGCACCTCTGCCTAGGGCGGCCGTGTCGGAGCGCTATGTGCGAAGGCGAGTAGACCGCCTCACAATCGCCGACGGATGCCAAAGTGTTCCATGGCTAGGTGCCTCGCACTTGACATCGGTCGAAGACGGTTCTGTCCCTATCGCCACTGTCCGTGCCAAGGCCTGTACGAGAAGAAAGAAGTCGAGGAGGGTGATTGGAGCTGTGATAGCAAAAGTAGTACGGGCTGCGCATGTAGGCGTGGGGCGTGACCATAGGCCAAAAGAGATCCTCTTCAATATGTGTTCGCGCTTGTCGCAGGCAGGCAGCTAGAAAGGGTGTCCACACTGCCTCGCGAAGACGCAACAGGAAAGGGGGCAGAATCTGCCATGGGCTCGTCAGCTCTGATAACAAGCTCGCGTAGTATGACATCATTCTCACCTTGGGAACCAGCGTGCTACGCGAAGCCATCATCCTCAGAAACACATACGTAGTGCAGGAAAGGATCTGCGCATCGAAGGAATCTCCCAGAGTCCACGGGAGATAAGCACTGCAGATAAACAGCTCAACCGAGGGAAGAAGTCAGCCCTCTGGTGCGCTCAGGCGCCGGACAGCGGACAGCAGTGCGCGTGCGGAGCCCTTCGTCCTATCGCAGGGCCGTGCTTCGAAAGATATAACAGCGAAACCTTCTGCTCCCGGCTTACGTCCTACGGTGAGCGTGAGTGCCGATAAGAGTGTGAACTGTTGTCGGACGGGCTGGTGGGTTCCCGCTGGGCGCAGGAGCGGCAGGACTAGTCGTGAGTTCGCGGGAGACGCAGGAAGTATCGACATGGTACGCACGTACCGTACAGTAAGGTTGGGCCGCCCTGGGGCGTGGATGATTTACCCGGGATATCGCAAGCACGAAGGGATCGTCATCTTCCAAACCTATCGCGCGCGTCTTCAGTCTCGCTCTGGCAAGCGCAATTCTTATTCGAAGGTTATCGGCAAGGCGGGCGTTGGCCGACGGTAGGAGCGATGACGATTTTAGCCTCATGAGCACGCTTCTGATGTGACTAATTGATTACTCAAGTGGTAGCCCGCTGATCATTGGCGTGGTGGCTTGTGGGCAAGGCCTGGACGAGACGTATAAATGAGATGCGCGAATAGCATCGAATAGGACACACGTACCTCAGGGCTTTACGATGAGTCGGTCATCTGACTGGTCACTACGTCCAATCGGCATCTACACGGCACAGGCCACCTTTCATTTCCGTAGTACTCTCGTTAGTCGGAAAACACGATGTGTGCAGTGACCCAGTCCAGAATATCGGTGTCAGCAACGTATACTGTCTATGAAATTCCCAAATCAGCAATACTACCATCAGACGTACACATACTATGAATTGGTGGCTGCTCCCGACCCAGGTCGAATGGGTGCTTGCATTCGTATGTGGTAACACAAGAAACAACCTGCTTCCAAAGTTTATCAACTTCGTTGCCGGATACAATTCATCATAGTATTGGCGTACCTTGCCGTTTTACAGAACGAAGCCAAATAAGCTAGACACATCCAGAGCCTATGCGGCTAGTTAGCTCGCATTGGGACCAGTTTCGCGGCCCCTCGGTATTTATCCTGCGTGGCATCGACCTCAGTGTCGGCGCAGATGGCAGCAGAGCTTATCTGACCCCTTGGGCTCGACCAGCGTGAGGGGCTTCGCCCATGCATACCCCCGGGGGGTGTGCGATAGAGGTGACTAATCGCAGTGCGCATTCGAGACGGAGCGCCATGAGTCAGGACCGGGTACAGTTTGGCACATCGTGTACCACGAGGGCAACATATCATGTCCTCACTGAATAGACGAACGACTCTGGGAGAACAAGTGTCATGGAAGACGTGTCTAGCACCGGCGAAAGATACCTATCGTACACCGACCATCCCGCTCAAAAGCGTTGAAGGCCGACGAGAAGTCGACCAAAGGGCAGGCGACTTGCGCATTCGAGTATCCCGGAGAGTGAGCGGGCACTAGCGACAGCCGGGATTCAGGGCAAGGTGCAAACTCTATAATGACTGTGATAGGGCGACATTACGGGCACGCGTGTTACACATTGACTGTCGACTCTGCACGCCACGGTTTCCCAACCCCACAACGTTCTTGATGGCCTGGGCAGATCAGTGCGCGTGGTTCTTGTGGTGCTCTGTGGGAAGGTTGTGCGGTCAGCTGACGGACGCAGAGTGTGTGCGCAAAGCTGATACGCACTCAAGTGCACTGACGGGAATGCCGTTTCGTTAGATTGCGATTCTGGACGGAGAAAGAAGGGCGACGCACTCTGGTAGTCGATGGTGTAACCCAGACCGAAGATCCCCGCAATAAGCAGCGCGAAAGGAGCACCAGACGCGTTCTTGCCGTTGAAAAAGCGTCCCTTGATGCCGCTAGCGGCGGAGGCGGGGGCGGGACCCTTGGGCAGCTTCGAGTAGAAGTTGACGAGCGGCGAAAGACCTGCGCCAGAGCCGGAGGACTGGAGAAAATATCCTCAGGAAAAGCAGATAAAGGACTGGACATGTCGCGATGCTTACGAGGAGGGATGGCGAGGCAACTTTTGGAGGTACAAGGCCGCCAAGTTGGCGACGGATGAGGGAGGGCTGCATGGTTGGGGATGTGCTGGATTGGCCGTCGGTGAACGCGAGTATGAGGTGAAAGACAGGCGCACAAAGCGGAACAACCCGCAAGGCTCAGGTATATCACAAAGCACTACATATTCTTGACGAAGCATAAACATACATCTGCCCCATGGCTAAGTTGGTTACAGCGTCCGACTGTTAGGCACTTGTCACACATTGTCACATGCTTATGTAATCGGAAGGTCGTGAGTTCAATCCTCACTGGGGCAGTCGTTTTTCACCCTTAAACCTCTAAACTCATGTTTGCGGAAGTTTTGGAAATCGTTGCTTTTTGTCCAAAATTTAAAGTGATGTAAACTAGGAAACCGTAACCGAGATTGGGTGAAGATGAGCACTCAAGCAAAACACTCAGACACAACAGGCCTGGCAGTGACCGTAGTATTACACTGCCTTCCGATTAGCAGATTGACAATGTAACTGCAACTTCCTGCAGGCACATACCGTCCGGGCATTGAGAGTTTAGACAAGATGAACAAATAAAGAGATTTAAGTACTAGAGCTACTATAAGGACAGGACTGATTACTTTGGGCAATAGTATCACAAAATCCCACGTCCACCTGTTCCCGGTGTTAATGGAGATGACGACATGGGAATATATGTGTGGGGTGCTAAATTGTGCATTGGCACCGGCATCACATAATCTTGCGCCCTGCATGCACCTGAGGGGTGTCCTGCATGTCTGTATGAATGGCGCATGCGCGGAGGAGCTGACGAGGCGCGACTCGGACTTGTTGCCTCCTCTTGACGCTTGCGTTCGTTGCGCTTGCGGCGACGGAGAAGGGCAGGATATTTGTATATTGCAACAACAAGACTCCAAAGGGGGCCCATTGACACACAGAGGGCTGTGATCTGATCCGGGTTGCTGTTAGCATCAACAAGGGAGACCCGGACGTTGAGCTCACCTGTCCAAGCCCGGTGACGTTGTTTTCACCGGGAAAGATATCATTCACAAGTGTTTGCCATTCCGAAGCTGTTTAGATGGAACGCTCGTTAGCAAGTAGGTAAATCACCCTAACATAAGTCAGTCGCTGGTCGACGTACTGGCTACAAGCATAATCCACACAAAAAGCGAGATGACGTGGCATCCAAATACAGTGAGCCGCCGCCTGTCTTGCCAGGGATGCAGCGACTCGAGGAGGAGATTGACGAGTGCTGCAGGCGTCCCAACAGCCAGGGACCCCCTTGACGGCAGATCCACGTTTGCACGAAACGAGCTCGACACTGCAAGGACGACTGTGAGCCCAGCCGTTATTCCAACACAAAACAAGAGCCACCCTGGCCAAATGGAAGATCGATGGCCTGTTTCAGGATCGAGGAGATTGATGTCCTGCGTCTTATATTCCTTGAAGAACATAATAATTGTCGTGTTTCCGCTGCATTCGGGCTGGCTATAATGGGGCGACACAAAGAGGAATATGGCCCATCCCCATTGTGCGACAACCTGCAAATCATGGTGAGCTACAATCTAGGTACATTGTTTGCTTTGCTTCCTGCATACCTGGAACAGGATGGCAAGAGATAATATTAGACGAGAGCGCTCCTGGGCGGCCCTAATCTGCTCGCGATGAGCATTCTTATACACGCTATCATTGATGACCTCCTGAGTCCTGGACATGTCGACGCCTGTTAGATGTAGCGCATGCTGCGCGTGCTCTCGCTTTGCATAGTCTAGCGCATTGAGCCGCCAGAGCGGGAGGGTTGGCGCCACGGCAAGCGAGCTAACACATGACAACGTTGCTAGACTAGACAGGCAGTTAACTCCATAAACTTCAGCGGGGATCTAGGCTCACTTCAGAACAAGAGAGGCATGATGTAGGGTCAGTTGGCTCTCCGATAGCGCCTTCTGAACAATGGCGGCAACAACCAGGGAGGTTGTGAGCAGAGTGCCTGCCCATGCTGTTGCAGCAGAATCCGAGGGGGAAAGTACTACGAGAAATGCTGTAATCCTATGATGAGCTTCCAAGCACATATATAGCGCATGTGGAACAAGCTTACCGGACACAACACTTTGGAGATAGAATGCCACGCGCACACCTACGCCAGCGAGATCTGGATTAGGGCAGATACCGAAGCACTGGTCGCTGGATAGTAGCCCTCCGCACACCACAGTCTGCAAGATATCACAATTAGCTGCGGGTCCGTTGTCTGGAAATAGGGACAGAGAGGAATTATTAATCAGCGTGAAATTCGATAGCTGAGATGGACACTTCATGGGGGGATAGCGCTAGCACACACCAATGGCGTAGAGTATAAATATGTATACTGCTCAATAAATCGTGTACACGTACTCGGTTGTGGTCCCAAAGGAATCGGTCCCGATATTAGATAGGGTTTGGATCCGGAATCACTTTCTACGACTTATCAGTACTGTAGAACAGCCATGATGACGGCTGCTGAGGAACACCACCGTGCCGACCAGGTACGTAGCAGGCACTGTACTCACGCGACTAGCGGTAGACGATAAATGCGACTCGCGAGGCGCCTCATGCATCAGCGCCACTGGCAGCGGCGGGTGCGAAACTCGACGCGACATGATAAACATTCTTGCGTCACAAGCCCACTTCAAGTACCAGCGGCCCTTGTGCCCATCTCATGAGGTTTCTTCTTGGCTTTAATCTATATCTACCATCTCACTAACTTAATTGGGGTTGTTCAATCAAAAGGAGTCGAGAACCGTCCTTTACAACACCTCCGAGTCCCTGGAAGAACAGCGCCTCCTCATCTGGTGCGGATGTGAAGGGAGGAACTATTATTCATCTCGATAACGGTGACTCAGCTCCCACAAAGGTTGGGTGACGTGGTACGTACATCACTTCAAGTTGAAACATAGCATGAGTTACGGTTGCCACTGCCAGACAGCGAAGCTGTCTGCTCTGCCTCTGAGAGACCACTGGCATAACTACCCGCTGTACTCATTCTAGTATCGTCTCGCACAGTACTCGCATGCCAACCATGACATATCTGTGATCGCACACGTCTTACGTGGGCAGATACGCTATGCTATGACCCATTCGAGCAGGCCATGTGGTGGTGGCTGACGCTGTGTTCCTAGGAAATTATTGCGGCTAAGTACAACGGGCTGTGCCGTCACGGTTGTCGTGTCACTGAACCCTTGCCAATCCCCTTAAAAAGCCACACTCAACTTTGCTCTTTTAAGCCGATTACGCTACCGTTCAGTTGGATGCCGCGAACAAAATGGAACGACACACAGCTCTACTTACGAGTAATCAAGTTGTTCCAGCTCGCGGCCTCATCGAAGTACACAGACTCGATCCACTCTCCCCTCGATCTACAACGTCTCGCCGAGTGAACTTTGGCGCAAATGTAGCGGTGAACCATGATTCCAGGTTCCTGCATGCGCAGCGACGTCGCATCTGGGAGTTCCAGAAACGATGGGAGAGTATCAAGACGAAACTTCCACCTCAGCTGACACGCAGACATAGTAAGTGTGCTCCTTAATCAGCAATATTATCGTTCACGCTATGCTACAGTCGACAAAATTTCGATCGGTCAGTCACGACTTGATCTTATCAATTGTCGAATATAATCTTTTCCCATTCAGGTGGAGTGATTGGAACAGGATTGTTTCTTGGCTCAGGGGTAAGCTGTCCTTGTGCGATTGTAATAACATACTCATGGAACATGACAGGCGGCCCTATACGATGGTGGCCCTATTGGAGCACTGCTCGGGTATGCTGTTGTTGGTTCAGTCATATACTGCCTCTGTGTATCCATCGGCGAAATGATTGCATTCCTGTAGGGTGTTGTCAACGTTCTCTCGACTGGACATTATTGACGGTTTTTTTGCTATAGTCCTAATGTTGGCGGGGTAGTTGGATTGGCTGATTTGTACGTTGATCCCGCTCTCGGATTCTCCCTAGGATGGGCAGCCTGGGTAAGTATATTACGTCACATTCTTGTACAATATTCCAACGTTTTGATGTTCTACCCAGTATAATTGGAGCATAACCCTTCGTACGTCCTATAGGGGAAAATAATGCACTTTACTAACGAGGATTGTAGCTGCGGAACTAGCCGCTGCGGTAGTCGTCGCCAAATGGGATGCGTGGCATATTGAACTCTCGTGCGCATTTCGTCTAGTTTTCCCTGCATCGGCGTGTAAACTCACCAGCCGCGCAGAAACGCAGCAATAACAGGGATAGTCGTAGGTGACATATACCCCTGTCTTGCATATTACTGACTGCGCGGCAGTTCGGCCTGGCCATCCTAATTAACTGCTTCCCTTCTCGCGTATACGGCAAATTCGAATATATTTTCTCTCTAGCAAAGATATCTTTGATAGTGTGTATTAGTAAGTGATATATTTCTCCTCATGCATGCGTCGTCACTCATACGCTGTAGTCGCTTTGACCTTGTTTGTGGTGTTTTTTGGGACGCCGCATACCGACTGGCAGTAGGTCCCGTTCTATAGTATATACATGGTCAACGACAACTGATACGAATTAGACCTCTAGGAATATCCAACTGGAAGTATTCTCCATTCGCTCGTGATTATCTTGGCATTACAGGTCCCTGGGGTCGACTCTTAGGATTCTGGGCGGTCTTCATGCAAGCGTCATTCTCATTTTCTGGGGCTGAAGTCCCAGGAATTGTGAGTACCGTTGTAAAACTAAACCAGGAGTCGGCTAACATATGCCAAAGGCAGCAGGGGAAGTTATAGACGCCACGAGGGTACGTTACATTCCTTGATCCATCGTATCTATTCCCTACTTACAGGTAATTGTGCCCTAGAATGTACCACGGGCACTTCGCAAGGTTTGGATCAGAATGTTTGTGGTAGACTCTCGTTATAGAAAATACGCGTTTTTGACAACTCACGCAGCACACTGTTTTATATTGGTGGCATATGCTGCGCAGGTCTTCTCGTCCACCAGGATGACAACCACAGCGACTATCCCCTGTTGGTGAACACCGCAAATCAAGGAACAACTGCCGCCTCTCCATTTGTTGTGGGACTAAGATCAGTGGGAATCCCTTGGGTTCGTCTCTTCCTCTAGGCTTCTGATAAATTCTTCCATCCACTAAAACGTTCTGTTTATGAAGATGGCACATGTCATCAATGCGGCTGCTCTCCTCTCGGCGTGGTCAGCAGCCTCGTCCGATGTCTACATCAGCAGCCGCTTCCTCTTCTTTCTTGCGCAGTCAAGTCATGCCCCGTCCATCTTTGCGTCACTCGTCCGTTTCTCAC